TTAAATATAATCCTATAGAATCAAAACGTCTACCCTGTGATCTATTTTTTATCACAAAAAAAGCCGAAATAATGAAAACTGTTTTCTATGTAAAATAAATGGTAAACAAGAATGATCCCCGTTATTTAAAGTGATTCTAGGTAAAATACCATTTGTCTTTTGTTTTTATCTGTAATGATATCAGCTTCAATGTTATACTGAAATAACTTTGTTATGCGTAAACGAGTTTTATTACATAATTGAGGACCGGGATCGAATAACTCGCCCGACGCTCGAAACGGAATTTAAGTTCGCGACCGAGGGGCCGATTTTCAAAAGTCCTTAAATCGCTTTTAAAAAAATACTAGCTTATAGACAGTAAAAAGCCGCATCTTCTTTGTCCATATAAATTTTTTATCCGGTTAATACTTTGCGAGAAAAAAAATAAATACCGTACTTTCTGAAAACTCAAATCCAATGGATTTTAAAAACATATATCGCTGTTTCTCAGCCAATTATTATCAAAATCGTTTGAAACTTGGTATGGGATCGGGGAATACCTTAGCGTTGCTAATAAGCTGATTAGAATTCGTTTTACTTGTCATGAATTATAAATATTTAATGACAACGTGGTAGTGCAATAATTTCCAAACTTGTAAACTTTAACGAAAAAAAGTATGCGGGGAAGTTTCAGCTTGACAAAACTTCCAGCGACAAAGTTGTTCCTTAAGACTCGAAGAAGTTTTCCTCAAAGTTTCAACTCGATTATTCAAGAAACAGCTGAGATACAAAACTTTTTGTAACTACGTGCACAGCTGGTAGTAACTGCGCCACGTCGGCTGTGGACCAGCTCCTGCATCAGGTTAGGTCGTCTGCTGCATACTGGTGACAGCTTTTCGCCTGCCGTCGGTCGTACGTGCATTGTTTACACTTTATCCATGAGACAGGAGCTGGATGTGTCGATTGAGCTTATAAGAGGATTGCTATTCACTATCTAGAAACGTTTAGATTATTATACAAGTGAAAAATGTCGAGCAATCAGTATTCTGAAGGAAGTAGAAAAAGAAAAAGAAACGAAAGTGATTACGGTACAGTACGTCAACAGATTAATACAGTAAGTCAAATTACTGATATAACTATAAACACGATATTCATGAAAGAGTTAACAGAAAAGCTCACTTCATCCCTTGCACGTTTCCTTTTATTAAACTCCCAATCACTTTCGTTTCTTTTCCTTTTTCTACTTCCTTCAGAATACTGATTGCTCGACATTTTTCACTTGGATAATAATCTAAACGTTTCTAGATAGTGAATAGCAATCCTCTTATAAGCTCAATCGACACATCCAGCTCCTGTCTTATGGATAAAGTGTAAACAATGCACGTATGACCGACGCCAGGCGAAAAGCTGTCACCAGTATGCAGCAGACGACCTAACCTGATACAGTAGCTGGTCCACAGCCGACGTGGCGCAGTTACTACCAGCTGTGCACGTAGTTACAAAAAGTTCTGCATCTCGGCTGTTTCTTAAATAATCGAGTTGAAACTTTGAGGAAAACTTCTTCGAGTCTTAAGGAACAACTTTGTCGCTGAAAGTTTTGTCAAGCTAAAACTTCCCCGCATACTTTTTTTCGTTAAAGTTTACAAGTTTCGAAATTATTGCACTACCACGTTGTCATTAAATATTTATAATTCATGACAAGTAAAACGAATTCTAATCAGCTCATCAGCAACGCTAAGGTATTCCCCGATCCCATACCAAGTTTCAAACGATTTCGATAATAATTGGCTGAGAAACAGCGATATATGTTTTAAAAATTCATTGGATTTGAGTTTTCAGAAAGTACGGTATTTTTTTTTTTCTCGCAAAGTATTAACCAGATGAAAAATTTATATCAACAAAAAAAGATGCGGCTTTGTACTGTCTATAAGCTAGTACTTTTTTAAAAGCGATTTAAGGACTTTTGAAAATCGGCCCCTCGGTCGCGAACTTAAATTCCGTTTCGAGCGTCGGGCGAGTTATTCGATCCGGGTCCTCAATTCGTCTATTATATTTAAATTTAGTATCAATACAACTACTTTATTTTTTTTCAATTTTATCTTATGAGGTAGTAAGCCTCCATAAATTGCAATTAAACACTAACTTAAAAATTTAACTTTATATTTTCGTCAGATTCATCTGTTCCTTGTGCTGCTGCATAATTAATACTGTAGTAGGATATAACAGTTCCTTTCATAGTATTTAGTACTATATTGTTAAATAATCGTGTGTATTTATTACGTGATGTTAAAATAATTTAATTTATAAAAAAATATTTGTTTATCAAAAATTGTACTGCAAAAATCTTTCGTTTTCCATTTATATGGTATTGTAAACGAATCAGTTTTACCTTTTTCTATACCTAATAAAAATGAAAGTAATTTTCCATTTTTTAATTAAAAAATATTAAAGAGTTTCCATAAATGAGACTATTTTATTCTTTTTTTTATAATAGCTGATTTGTTATTTCTACTTACTTTTTAAAACCGGTGAAATTTGTCTCATATCTTCTTCTAATATTGTTTTTCC